GCCCTAGAGCATCATCAGGCTGAGCCCTAGAGCATCATCCATCAGGCTGTGCCCTAGAGCATCATCAGGCTGAGCCCTATAGCATCATCCATCAGGCTGTGCCCTAGAGCATCATCAGGCTGTGCCCTAGAGCCTCCATAGAGATTGCCACTCTACTGCTGTCTTGTTTTTGAACCAGGAGAAAACCAATCCTTTCCATGGTACTTTGTGAGGAAGCCCTGGGAAATGACTCCATCCGTTAGTGGCCAGCCTGAACCCGAAGCCTGCCAACAGGCAAGAGTGAACCTAAAAGAGGGTCTTCTAGGGTCTGCCAGCAGCCAGGCTGTGTGAACTTGTAAGTATTCCACCTTCGCCCCGGGGACAAGCCTTGAGATGACCATATCTCTAAGTGACCCCTAACTGCAGACTTGTCTTGTAAGCCATCTGGAGCTGAGGTATCAATCTAAGCGATCCTATCTCTTTTCCTCCCCAGCATCAGGAAGGTAGTCTAGGAGTTAATGATGGTTTGTGCCTGACTCCAGTGCTTTCTGATAGAAGCACGGGAACAAAATTGAGGAAATAAGAATGAAATTGGTACAAATAAAAAAAAAATGACAAATATAACACTGTAAAAACTGTTGCAATAGAGGCTGGAGAGATGGCTCAGGGGTTAAGAGCACTGGCTGTTCTTCCAGAAGATCTGGTTTTGATTTCCAACACTCATACGGTAGCTCACAACCATCTTTAACTCCAGTTCCAGGGGATCTGATGCCCTTTTCTGTTTGTCTGGGCACTGCACACATGTGGTGCACACACATACATACAGGCAAAGCACTCATACACATAAAATAAAATAGTTAAAAACAAGCAAACAAATGAACTGATACCATAACCATACTGAAAAGCACATTAGGATCTGCCATGTGGTTTAGCAGGTAAAGGTAAAAGGTTAAAAAAAGGTTAAAAAAAAAAAAAACAAAAAACAAAAACAAAAACAAAAAACAACCACCAAACCTGATGACCTAAGTTGAAACCCTAAGGATCCCTGATGGAAAGGGAGAATTGACTGTTTCTTGAGACAGACAGACAGACAGACCCCCCCCCCCTAAAACGTAAAAAAGTTTTAGAAAGAAAAATATATTAATTCGAGAACTTTGGAGCACTGTATATTAATTGCATCACATTTAAAGGATTATAAAGATTAAATTAAGACGTCCCAAATCTAGTGACCTTGTTGCAGGTGGTGTGTCTCAGCTGTGCTCGCTCTGAGACAGCTGGGCCTCGTCTAGCCTCAGAATGAAGCTCTTTTCCCACAGAGCAGGCTGAGCTCGGGGCAAGGTCACTACTGCCTCCAAGCAGGATCGGTATCCTGGCAGAAAGGGTTAATCATAACAAGCCTTAGTGGCAAACTGTGCATGCCAGTTAGGATGCCAGTTTGGACTGGTGGCTGTGCCAGGCTGACTCAGGCAGGACCATTGCTGCTTGAAGGTCAGGTTGTCGCAAACCACGATAAGCCTCAACTGCAATTATTCCACTGTGCTGTGACATCGAATCCCTGCCTGACCACCCACGTAGAAGCCCCCATATCTAGGATCAGCTGCTTAGAAAGCCTATGTGAAGGGAGTTTTCCCCTCTGTCTCATCTGCCGAGGCTTTTCTGAAGTATGTTTTAATAAACTCTTTTTTTTTTTTTAATATTTTATCCTGGCGATCGAACACTGGACAGCCTGGGAATTGAACCTGGTTCCCCTGGAACATCAGTCAGTGCTCTTAACCACGGAGCCATCTCTCTCCCTATTCTTTTAATAAACTCTATTGCTGCCTTCAGCCTTCATTCACAGCCTAACGTGTCACCAGCCTGTTATTGCCACTCCTGGCACGGAACCAACTGTTTTGTGTAAATTATAGGATATAATGAATAGATAAATGTATTAATGCTGGTGGAACGAGAGAATTCACTATGGTTAGATGAAACAGAAAGGCGGAGGCCAGCATGAAGCCCCTGGTACAGGCGTCGGAAGTAGAGCTGTCTGTCACTCGTGATTTAAAAATATCAGGGTGACTGGAGAGGTTGCTCAGTGGTTAAGAACACTTGTTGCTCTTCCAGAGGACATGGGTTCAGTTCCCAACATCCACGTAGCAGCTCATAACCATCTGTACTCCAGTTCTAGAGGATCTGGTTCTCTCTTCTGACCTCCACAGACACCAGGCATCCGTGTGGTGCACAGACACACATGCAACGAAAAACTCATGCACACAAACTGAAAAAATAAATCTAAAAACAATTAAAACATATCTGTGGTTAGAAGGCATAGTGCTTGTGAGGTTAACACTGATCGTCAACTTGACAGACCTAGAATCCAGCCTCCTGGGACACCTGTGAGGCATTCTCTAGGTTAGGGTAATCTCTAGGCATGCCTGTGAGGGATGTTTTGGGGTCGGAAAACTGAAGTGGGAAGACTTCCCCTGAATGTGGGCAACACCTTTCAGCAGCAGCCCAGATACAAGGAGCCCCAAGGGGAAAGCATTTTGCCTGCTTGCCTTAGTCTTTTGCTGGTGAGTGCTTCTGCTACTGCTTCTAAAATCCTTGGCTGGCACCAGAACATGGACTCAAGACTAACGGCTCTACATGCATCTTCCAGGCTCTTGGTGTTAGACTGGGACGGCTGAGGCAATCAGGCTGGTCCCAGCCTTCCCGTAGTTCAGACAACCATCTTCGGACTGCCTATCATGTAAAGTGGTTGGATAGATTCTCTTTTTAATATATATTCATTATGTTGGTTCTATTCCTAAAGAGAACCCAACTACATTCTGTTTTATGTTACGTGATACACTCTAAAAGGAAAAGTGAAAAAGGACTTTATAACATTACACTCTCCGAGTGCAAGAGGAAGGAAGATGTTTTGAGAACTGTACTACAGAGCAGGAAGTGCTGTAAGATAAAACATCCCCAGGATATACGAGCAGTGTAGGGGCTCCCGTGGCCAGAGCTGGGCAATCCGAGTACCAGAATTGTACTGGTATCTGGTTTTAGCAGTTGAATTCGAAACAAACCCAGACCACACACAGCATTCATCACTCAAAGCAAAGAGGAGGACAATTGAGAAAGGAAGGCTATGAGGAGGCAGAGGCAGATACTCCTTTCTAGATATGCATACCAGTTGGAAAATACAAAAAAGGGGTGATAGAATTGTAAGTAATATAACTCCTGCTGTTGTAATAAATGATCATCAGCGTGTGCTGTATTCATTGGGTAAGGTATTCCTGGGGACAAAATATCCACCAGGTTTCAGTTTATCCTGGGAGTTATTTATCTTCACTGGCTTTGTTGAAGAGACAGGAGCCTTGAGCAAGTGGTGGCTCTTTGCATCTTGGCCTGGTGGATAATGACGTCAAACTGGCAGTGTGCATGTCCAAAAGTGCAGGATGTGATGTGAGTACCCGCCATTGTTCTGTTTCTGACTCTAATCATGCGAAAAATAATCCCGTACATGACAGGACAATCGGAATGGACTGCAAATATGCCAAAATTAAGAAGAATTTAGAAAAGTCAGAATACAGCTCTAGATTAAGAAGTTTACGAGAGGTGAATTCAAATGCACTGGGTTAATTTCCAGTATCTCCTGAACTTAATGTGTGCATGTGTCTACGACCTTTTGAGACAGCAAAGGAGATACAAATATGACAGTGTATGGGAAATGATTGAACATGTGTTCAATTTCATGTATGTGACGAGTGGTAGTTTTTCAAGAGTTTGGTGTGGGAGGAATATACAGCCCGAAAGAACGCAAGTGTTGCGAAATGCTGGCGTTTGGGGACTGGGTAAAGGATTCTCAGTTCTCAGTTCACGCCTCAAATTATAAAGCTCTAGGGTAGAAATAGTAATCGTGAGACGATTTCTTTGCGGTGGCGGAGGTTCCAGGACACACAGAGAAGCCCCTCTGGAGAAGAGTCCTTTGGCTGTCTGGCTTCCCGGTTTCTCCTTCACAGACCGAAAGCCCAGAGGTAGAAGCCAGCGGTCTCCAGTAGCAAGAGCCTGGGACCCTGTCTGGCTCCTCCTGGGCTAAACCTGCCGTGGACGGGGGCGTGGCCTGGAGGGGCCGGGGCCGGGGCCGGCAGTGACCAATGAGAACGAGGTGTGGGCGTGTCCGCCGGGATGTGGGCGGAGCCGTAGCCGGGCTTGGGCCGCGCCCGCAGCTCGGCGGCCTTTTCTTCCGCTCCTGCCCCGCGTTGCTCCCAGGCGGCTGCACTGGCTCGGCCGAGGTGGAGCTCCGCCGCTGGGTGAGTTCCCGTCCGCGCTGCTGCCTTGAGGACCCGACCAGAGGACCCCTGCAGCGGGTTTGCTCGGGGCTGAAGTGCGTTGGGGTTTGCGGTCTGCGCTCGGTGGGCACGAGGCTCCCGGGCCCGGGCTCGCTCCCGGGTTCGGATGGTTCCGCGGGAGCCGCGTGGGATGGCCGAGGGGGGCGTCCGGGAGGCTCAGCGGTTGCACCCTTTGCTGCGGCACTTCTTCCTCCCACTGGTGTGCGCCTCTCCCATCCGTGGGCTGAGACGGTCAGTACCGGGAAAAGGCTCACTACCCATTGAATTACTGGTGGAGGGCTAGGGATGTAACCCAGTGGTTGAGCTCTTTCGCATATACAGGGTGTCGGGTGCAATCTTCAGCGTTGTTAAATAGACGGATAACAAACAGTTCCATCTTCTTTAAGGCACACACACTATTGCTTGTGGAACAAAACAGGGTTGCTTCTCGCGTTCGTGTTGAACCTGTCAAATGAATTGCTCGAGAAGTTAACGTGTTAACGCGTTTTAAAGTCTTTTTGGGTGTAATTTCAGGCAAAACGCTCGCAGTCGTCAGGATTGTTCTTGCCTATGAATAGCAAAACAATGCTGGAACGTCCTTGCAGATTCTACATTCGGAGATGCGTAGTGTAAAAGTTGAAAGGCATGAGTTTTGATCTCGGCATTGGCGCTGCCAACTTTTGTAACAGGGGACCAGTTAACTCGTGAAATGGTACCGATTTCTGGAATGTTCTTAAAACCTCATATTTCATAAGTCTGTGATGAATTTATTTTTCTCTGTGCGCTTTTTTTTGTTAAAAAGATTTATTCATTTTTATTTATGTGTCTGTGCGTGAGTTTATGTGCACCACATGTGTGCAGGAAGCCAGAGGGCATCAGATCCCCTGGAACTGGAGTATAAGCAGGTGTGAGCCGCTTGATGTGGATGCTGGGAATCAATCCGTGGTCCTCTGGAAGAGCAGCCAGTATTCTTAACTGCTGAGCCATCTCTCAGCCCCTCACCATGTGCTTTTAAAAAAGAATAGGGAATAGGAAACGTTTACGAAAAGACAGTGTAACCGGGGAGAGATTTATGAGAACATGAAAGGGTAGAGTATGTGATTACATTTTAAGACTGTAGACTGAAAGAACACACTAAAATGAAAATGATTCATTAATTATGTAAGAGAAACTTGGAAAGCTCTTAGAAGTACTTGGAGCAAGTACCGATTTTTAAAAAAATGAGCATACAAAGCAGTGAGTTTCTCAATGACGTCATTGTGCCCATTCATTACCCTACCCAACGGCCCCCAGCTCCCTCCATCTGACTCCCTTTCTTCCCCAGCTAGAGCCCTTCTGCTTTCTTATTTCCCACACTCCATCACGGTTTCCTGTCTCCCTAAGGTCTCTTCCTCCCCTCTCATGACCCTCTTTCTAGTATCATGATCTGTATACACATAAACACACACACACACACACACACACACACACACACACACACACACACGATCCTCTTTCTAATATCATAATCTGTATACACACATACACACACACATGCATGCACTTAAAAATACACATACGATTATAAAACATGCAATATTTTGTCTTTCTGATTTTGTTTAATATGGTGATTTCCAATTGTATACATTTCCTGCAAATGGCATGATTTCATTTTTTCTAATGGCTGCGTAAAATACCATTGTATACATGGATTGCTCTTTTTCCCCCTTTTTCTTTTTCACTTATTTTTGAGACAGGGTCTCACTATGTAGCTTTGGCTGGCTAAGAACTTGATATAGACCAGTCTGGCCTTGAACTCACCGAGTGCTGGGAATCGAACCTGGGTCCTCTGGTAGAGCAGTCAGTGCTCTTAACCGCTGAGCCATCTCTCTAGCCCCCTATTTGTAGTCTTTTTAAAATTAAGTGTGTGTGTGTGTGTGTGTGTGTGTGTGTGTGTGTGTGTGTGTGTGTGTATGTATGTATATGTGTATGCACATACACGGCCTTACATGCATGAGAGAACCTACAGCGCAGGTGCAGAGTCAGAGAACAACTTCTAGATTTCAGGTTTTCTGTAGGTCTCCAGGATTGAACTCAGGTGTCAGGCTCGGTGACAGGAGCTCTCTCACCTGCCGAGCCCTCTTGGTGCTCTCATTTGTTTTCCTGACGGCAGCCATTCTGTCTGGAGCTGGAACCTCTGAGATGGAACCTCAAAGCAGTTTTTTTGTTTGTTTCCAAGACAGGTTCTCACTAGTTAGCTGTCCTGGAACTATGTAGACCAGGCTGGCCTTGAACTCACAGAGATCCACCTGTCTCTGCCTCCAGAATGCTGGGATTGAAGAGACCCAGCTCAAAGCAGTTTTAATTTGCATTTACCTGATGACTACGGCTGTTGAGTGCTTGTTCAGGCATCTCTTGGCCAGTAGTTTCTTTTGAGCCCTCTGGAGCTGGTCTCTATCCAGTTTAGTAGCTCATTTATTGATTGGATTTGGTATTTAATTTTTGCAGTTCCTTATGCATTCTGGATATCAATCCTGTGTCTCATATGTAGTTGGCAAAGATTTTCCCCCTCTGATTCTGTAGGCTCTCTTCACTCTGATAATTTTCTTTATGAAAAGAAGTCTTTTAATTTCGTATAGTCCTATTTGTTTTATTTCCTGTGCTGTTTTAGTCCTTTTCCAAGTACTGTGTTCTATTGGCCTCTCTATAGTTGTACAAATAAAGTCAGGTGGAAATAAATGTTAATTAACATACAAAAGATGATATAATAGAATGGGTAACAGTATATATCTTAAGTGTAGGGAGAATCTTTTGAGGTTCTTTGTATAAATATTTTCATTCAGAAAATATATTTTAGAATAAGAGATTTTTACCTCTTGTCTCCCCAAATTGTACAGCTATCACTCTACTCACCTATTTATTTATTTGGTGGTGTTGCTAGGGATTGGACCCTGAGCCTTCGACGACATGCTAGACAAGTGCTCTGTCACCAAGATACACCCCTCAGTCTTCATAAACACACACACAGACACACACACACACACACACACACACACACACACACACACACACACACATATGTGTTTAACAGCCCTGGAAGATACTGTTTGACTCCAAAGTAGTACGAAGAGGCAAGGTCAGACAGTCCTTCAGAGGGACACTAGCCTGGGTGCCCCATCGTGAAGGAAGAGTTGCCTCGTTGCTTCAGTTGTGTAGTTTGTCTCACAGGTCGTGAGGACCGAATCGAGTCCTCTGTGTGGAAAGTGTATGGCAATGCCTGACATCAGCTATTCCAGAATAACAGCTGATACCGGTGTTGTGTTTACGATACAGCAAAGAGAACTGCTGTAGCTCTGACTTCCAGAGGGCGGCCAAACACAAGGGCATGATGGGAGGCGGTCTACAGCCACCACCTGACTCTGGCTGTCTGCCAAGTTGTAATCCCTTTGCTAGTTCTCAAGTTGAGACGCTCACCAGATACATCCATCTCCATCTTGGCCTTCACCAAATAGAATTGGGGTTCTCTGAAGAATCATGCCTCACAGGAGGGTAAAGAATGTGAGAGCAGGAGAGATGGCTAAATGGTTAAGAGCACTGGCTGCTCTTCCAGGGGTCCTGAGTTCAGTTCCCAGCAACCACCTGTAATGAGATCTGGTGCCCTCTTCTGGCCTGCAGGCATACATGCAGGCAGAACACTGTATGGGCAATAAATAATTAAACAAACAAACAAGAATGTGCCTGGGGAGAGCCCTTCCAAGAGAGCTCAGACACAAATGGGTTGGTTAGTTTACTGAACATGGGTTACAGCCCAAGTTAACCGAACCTCTGGCCGTTTGCCATGGTCAGCACAGCCTAGAACACACCTGTTGGCAGATACCAGCCTCCAGCTGGGCCTGTTTTATTTGGATGCTTGTCCACCTTCCTGAGGCTTTCTGGTTCTTTGTAAATTCTTTGTAAGCCAGCTTATTCTTTTAAGTACCACAGTCTTTAAAAAAAAAAAATCGTTAACGCTTTAAAAGTTCATTATCTCTTTAAAAGTTCAAAGTCTCTTAACTGTGGGCACCTGTAAAACCAAAACTAAGTTATTTACTTTCTTATTCCGAGAGAACTGGGGCACAGTTACAGTCAGATCAAGGCAAACCCCAAATGCAGATTCTGTAGCTCAGTGTCCAGTATCTGGCGTTCCTTCGTGATCCTCTGTCCCCAAAAGCTTGGGCAGCCCCACCTCTCCAGCTCTGCCTTCTGCAGCACACACAGCTTGCCTTCCTTGTAGGCTCAGGCCGGCTGGACTCCACAGTTGCCCTTGCCCTTGGCAGACATTCCACAGGTCTGACATCTCTAATATCCCAGTTTCCACTGAAATTGAGACTAGACCTTCATCCGTGGCCTTTCCTGGGTGTTGCTCAGCCTCAGCTGCTCTCTCTTACCCCTTCAATCTTGCCTCTCATGCTTTCAAAACCAGTACCCATGTGGGGGACCCTTAGATATTACCAAGTTCCAACTAGCAGCTTGAGACACAGCCTTGGCTCTCCCGGACCGAAGCTTGTGTGTTGACCCTAAATAAGTAATTCCCGGAATATTTCATATCAGTGAGGCTGATCTCTTATTAGAAACAGCTGATTCTTCAGCCCCAGATGACCAGCATCTGTTGTCCCAGAAAAGCACAAAAGGTTTCACTTGAGTGGAGCTGGTCTCTTGGTGATCAAGCTGCTGCTTTAGCCTCAGCTAAAGGTCAGCAACCAGATTCCTAATCCAAAATATCACATGAGTGACCCTAATAGAGTCTTTGCTTCCCTCTAAATGTCACGAGCCAGGCCTCCATTGTCTATGTTATCTTCAAAAGCTCCCACGACAACCACTCATTAAAATCCGAGTACTCAACAGTCTGAGTTCTAAATACTTCTGTAGTCTTCCCCTGCCAAAACAAAACAAAACCAAAAACCAAAACCAAACAAACAAAAACCATGGCAGGGTTAATCACAGCAACACCCCACTCCTGGTACCGATTTCTGTGCTATTTTCTTTTCTGTTGCTATGAGAGAAAAACTGCCCAAAGCAACTTGGGAAGGAAAGGGTTTATTTTATCTGATAGGTTACAGTCCACGCTCAAGGGAAGTAAAGGTCCAGATCAGAGGAACACTGCTACTGGCCTGCTCCAGGCTCACACCCAACTAGCTACCTGTCTTATACAGTACAGGCACACCTACCTAGAGATGGCACTTCTCACAGTAGGCCCTCCAGCATCAATTAGCAATCAAGAAAATGCTCCACAGACATACCCAAAGGCCAATTTTTCAATAGAGGTTACCTCGTCCTAGGTGGGTGAAGATGACAACCAAGATTAGCCATCACACCTACCACGCACGAACCTGGGTTTGATCCTCAGCACTGCATAAAACCAGGTGTAGTGATACATACTTATAATTCCAGGAAGCAGGAAGAGCAGAAGTTCAGAGCCATCTTTGTCTACAGAGTAAGTTCCAGGGCTGCCTGGCATAGGAGACTGCCTCAAAAAACGAAACAAGCCAAAGCCAAAAACCAAGGGAAGAAAAAGTACTTACTATTAAAACTTATAGAACTAATGATAGCTCAAAAATAGCAACAGAAAGCTAGAAAGTTAGTGACATAGTGTGAGGGTATGATGGTAGTGTAGTTAAAAATGAAAAGTCTTTCTATAAACTTTTGCTGGCATTTTGGAGGCTATTGTGTGTGTGTGTGTGTGTGTGTGTGTGTGTGTGTGTGTGTGTGATATGCAGATATGCCCATCCATATAGATCCATGTTTACATATTTAATTGTAGAAAAAGACTTGTAAATTAGATGAATGAAAAGACACAACTGTAATGTCATATTGAAAAACAGCTATTATAAGCAGAAATGTAAGTCACAGGGTCCCCTGAGGCCATCTTTTCTTCCATTTACCGATTTACAGAAATGGTGCGGATGCTTGGTCTGCACCCAAGGCTGAACTGCTAAGGAAGCACCCAAGGCTGAACTGCTAAGGAAGCCCATGTTCCACACCAGGTGCCTGATGCATGTGTAGCATCACACCCCTCGGAACCAGCCAGGTAGAAGCTGAGCAGGGGTGGGGCAGCCTTTTAGATAATGCGAGTTTTGGAGGACTAGATAGAGCGGTGACTATAGTGAGAGCCTTCGGTTCATTTCAGAGATAACTTGTTCTGTAGTGGGAGAGGGCTGGGGAAATAGCTCAGCTGGTTAAATGCTTGCCAAGGATCTGAGTTTGGTTCCCAGACCCATGTCAAAAGGCAGGTATAGTGAGTGATACATGCATGCAGTCCCAGTGCTGGGACTCGAAGCCCAGCCACCCTGGCTGAATCAGTAAGTTCTGGCCAGTGAGGAGATGGGGACAAATATCACGTAACACTGCCATCAGCATATGATATTGCAACCCTGAACATCCGTCCTTTATGGATACCTGCATTAGATTGGGTTCTCAACTTCCCATCACGCATAGAGGAGGAGATATTGAAGCCCCATCCCTTCCTGAGGAACTAGTGACTGTTAATGGTTGCTGGAGGAGGGGGTGTCATTTTCTCTTAATGGTGTAGCCACTGGGGAACTAGGTGGGAAGAATGGGTTCAGGGGGAACGGGGAGACAGAGGGAAATGGGGGTGAATATAATCACAATACACTGCGTGTGTATATGTGTGTGTGTATGTATGTTTGTATGTATGTATTTGTTCAAAAGTAAATATAAGTCTGTGCTCTATTTGTTGGGTTGGCTGATCTGGTGATGGTGGTGTTGGTGCAGAGAATCCTTAGCATAGGGGGTCAGCAGGACCAAGTGTGTACTTCTGACTGAGCTCTGCCTCTCTTTCCTTCATGCCGAGCGTCCTCTAAGCTTGTAACACAGTCTGGAGGGAGTGAGCGGGCAGTCACCAAGTACACACTCAAAAGAGGACTTTGTTCATGTTAATGAATTTTCATTTGATCTAGGTTTATAGCAGTTTCCAATTTTAGTATTCCTGAGGGATGTATGATGTTTCCCTTAGGGACTCATTAAGACAGTGGCAAATGAATAGCAAATCTTCTTTGCATGAAGAAATAGCGATCTAAGCTAAAATAAGACCATCTAGAAAGCAGCTTCCTCTGCACTGTGCTGAAAGTGTACACACATGTCAGGGTGTCAGCCCAGCAGAGTGTAGGCTAAGGCCCCTGGAGAAGGAAGATTAGAGATTGCTCATTTGGGGCCTAAGTTAGGGTTTCATTGCTGGGATGAGACACCATGACCACAGCCACTCTTATAAAGGAAAGCATTTAACTGGGGCTGGCTTACCGTTCAGAGGTTTAGTCCATTATCATCATGGCGCACATACAGTCCATTATCAGCATGGCGGCATGCAGACATGGTGCCGGAGGAGCACAGAGTTCTATTCTACATCTGGATCGGAAGGCAGCAGGAAGAGAGAGAGAGAGAGGCCTTGGGCCTGGCTGAGCTTTTGAAATCAGGACCTGCCCCTAGTGACACACTCCCTCCAACAAGGCCACACCTCCTGATTGTGCTACTCCCTATGAGCCTATGGGGACCATTTTCATTCAGACCACCACAGGGCCTTGGATACAGGGGCTGTGCTTTGGTAAGGCAGGGTTCACCTCAGTTGTTGATGGGGTTGTTTGGAGGCACTCTCTGAATAAAACCCATGGATAGAGTTTGAAGCAGAAGCTCCCTGTGTGGGAATTTATGTGTGGTGGTTTGAATAAGAATGGCCTTTCATAGGCTCCGATATTTGAATGCTTAGTCACCAGGGAATGGAACTGTTCGATGGGATTAGAAAGATTAGGGGGTGTGGCCTTGTTGGAGGAAGTGTGTCACTGGGGGCGGGCTTTGAGGTTTCAAAAGCTCATGCCAGGCCCAGTCTCTCTGTCTTAGCCTGCTGATTAGGATGTAGCTCTCAGCTACTGCTCCGGCACCATGCATGCCGCCATGTTCCCCGCCATGATGATAATGGACAAAGCTTCTGAAACTGTAATCAAGCCTCCAGTTAAATGTTTTGCTTTAATAAGAGTTGCTGTGGTCGTGGTGTCTCTTCACAGCCATAGAACAGTGACTGAGACGTCATGGTTTTGAACCTTTTTTCCCTTTTGTATTCAGGGCAAACCTGGAGGCAAACCTGTGGGAGACAATGTTTGAGTAACTCCAAGGAGACCAGACAGTGGAAATGTCAGCCCTCAACTGGAAGCCCTTTGTGTATGGAGGGCTGGCCTCCATCACAGCGGAATGCGGTAAGGAGCCCTGGGCGCCAGAGCCTTGCCTGGTGGGTGTGGTGGCCGTCAAGTTTTGTGTTTGGTGTGCCTGGTGTTCAACTGCAGAATGCAAGCCTGTGAAATAGTAACCTCGGTATTCAGACATGTGTTCTTTGGGTACGTTTTTAGACGGACTAGTCACTTGGGCTACTTCCTAGCAATTTGGGGTGTAAAGTGCAGCAGTGAGAAAGTTGACCAAACAATTTGAAGATTCCCCTTTGGGTGATTTGGCCTTATTACCCCACCCTTTCTGCCACCCAGCCACTATTAACCCATTTGGCTGCAAAGCAGTGTGGCAAGCCCCAGGGACTCCTCTGAACCCGAGTAGACCGACTGTGCTCCATCACTTTCTAACTTGGTGCATGGCCTGCATTCCGTTCTGACGGCATCCACTGGGTTCCGCATCCGACTGCATGGCTCCTGTGTTTATGCTCTGTTTATCAAGCACTGGTTGACTGCTTGGCTTCTGAGTGGCTTGTGCTGGCTTGGACACTCCCCTGGCTCAGGGGACTTGTAAGACTCATGATTACCCACTTTCTGTGAATGAACTGAGGAGTTTGAAAGACTGCTTCCTCTCCCTGAGTGAATTAGCCTGGACTTACCGAGCCAAAGTTACTGTTTGAGGATGGATTCTGTATGTATGGGTAAATGGTCAGGTTTGGTATTAAGGATCCTTACCTGCCTCATCAGATTTCATTTTAGACTATAAACACTCCTTGCTCAGAAAATTCCTTAAACTTTTTAAAACCTCTGTTCAATTACTGAACCCAATCTTAGCCTTTTCTGACATAAAGAATATAGTTATTTGGGGTTTTAAGTGGATTTCCTCTTTGTGTAAATGATGTTGTGTATCTGCGTTCTATAGTGATATAGCCTCCTCAGCTCTATGTAAAAGATGGAACGTAAGTAAATGTTTAACTGAGTATGGTAAGCATGCACCTGTAACCCCAGCATTTTGGGAGGTGGGGGCAAACAGATCAGGAGTTCAAGGTCAACTTCAGCTACATAGCAAGTTTGAGGCCAGGATAGGCAACATGAGAACTTGTCTCACAGAACAAAAACAGCAAACAATGTTAATTCATTTTTGGGGGGGGCAGGGGTTGTTAATTTTTTGGTTCCCCCACTTTTTTTTTTTTAAATATAAAAGACTATGTTGTTTGTCTTTTCATTTGTTTATTTGAGACAAGATGCTGTTGTGTAGCCTCAAACCAATCTCTCTGCTTCCTTGAGTTCTAGAATTATAGGTGTGTACACCACCATGCCTGGCTGCCAATATTGTGTGTG